CCCCGCGTGCTAGTTTGTACGTGAAGTGTGTGGGTTACAGTGAGGGCTGCGTCCCACCCGCCTGTGTGGATTCACAGGAAGTGTGAGTTACGAAGTCTGAAGAAAATGTTGAACGGCCTCTGCTGGGATGACGACTACACCATAGCTCAGTGGTTAGAGCATCGCTGGCTACAAGCGAGGGTCCCTGGTTCGAGTCCTGGTGGTGACAGTCAATTTTTTCTTCAGACTTTTCCCGTTTGTCTCTTTCCCTCAAACCAGTTAATATTATTATTATTATTATTCACTAGTTTGAGGGAAAGAGACAAACGGGAAAAGTCTGAAGAAAAAATTGACTGTCACCACCAGGACTCGAACCAGGGACCCTCGCTTGTAGCTAGCGATGCTCTAACCACTGAGCTATGGTGTAGTCGTCATCCCAGCAGAGACTGTTCAACATTTTCTTCAGACTTCGTAACTCACACTTCCTGTGAATCCACACAGGCGGGTGGGACGCAGCCCTCACTGTAACCCACACACTTCACGTACACTCTAGCACGCGGGGAGCCCCAAGTCATAAAATCTTCACTAGTTTGAGGGAAAGAGACAAACGGGAAAAGTCTGAAGAAATTTTTTTTATTATTATTATTATTATTATTGAGGGCTGCGTCCCACCCGCCTGTGTGGATTCACAGGAAGTGTGAGTTACGAAGTCTGAAGAAAATGTTGAACAGTCTCTGCTGGGATGACGACTACACCATAGCTCAGTGGTTAGAGCATCGCTAGCTACAAGCGAGGGTCCCTGGTTCGAGTCCTGGTGGTGACGGTCAATTTTTTATTTAGACTTTTCCCGTTTGTCACTTTCCCTCAAACTAGTGAAAATGTTTATTATTATTATTATTATTTTAATATGGCAATAAGTAGGACGAGCTGAAGCGACATGTGGACTACTTTATTAACAATGTAAGCGATGGAGACGATGCAAGAAACAACCTAAAGGTTTTTTTTCCATTGCCCTTTTTCTTCTTACATGTATTTTTCCTTGCCCTTTAGGTTGTTTCTTGCATCGTCTCCATCGCTTACATTGTTAATAAAGTAGTCCACATGTCGCTTCAGCTCGTCCTACTTATTGCCATATTAAAATTATTGTCTCCTCGTCGAATTATTATTATTATTATTATTGTGGAAGAGAAAAGGACATATGGATACGAGTTAAGAGTAACTCTCCATCACTGTAACATGATACTATATACAGTCAGAAAGTGCAATAACTAGGCACAAGGCTAGGCTGTGCCTTGTCGGTTAGCGCTACGGAGATGTGTTGAAGCTAGGTGTCAGGACGTCGAATGTTTCAGTACTCTGTCAGTTTTGTGCCTAGTTATTGCACTTTCTGACTGTATATAGTATCATGTTACAGTGATGGAGAGTTACTCTTAACTCGTATCCATATGTCCTTTTCTCTTCCACATTTATTTATGGCTCAACATCCGAGTTTCAAATTATTATTATTATTATTTTTTTTTTAAAGAGGTCGGAGGCGGATAATACTTTAAAACGAAGGTAAGTTATGGGTCGCAAATATCCACGCAAACACACATCCAGTCATAATAAGGCACTTGTCATAAGTATCCAAACGTTTTCGGTCCCTTCTCATCAAGGATTATACAGGGAATGGCTCAAGCTGGAAAGACTAAAACTTATATAGCGTAAAGATAATTAGATAACAACACTCGTGACAAGGTGGAAAATTATCAAGTTTAGCACGACACAAAACTCGAAGGAAAATAATAATAGTGACAACAACATAGTGAGCAAATTAAGTTACATTGTTACCACCTCGACAACACCCAGGAGACAACACCCAATGGAGCTAAGAATCGCACTTCGTCAATCAAGCAACATCTGTCAGCCCGTACCAATTGTCGTGAGTTGTACAGTGATAATGTTTTCTCAATATTGTCACGTGGTAGATGTGCGTTACATTTGGCTGTGTTAGAAGCTTTGTATATCCGTAAGTTAGATCCTGAACTTTGCGTACAGAAAGAAAATGTGTTGTCGCTACAATTGTTTGGTGTTACTCCTCGTCGAGGTGGTAACATTATTATTATTATTATTATGCTCTATTCGCGTTAGCATCAGTGAGCTTATAAAGCTCACATATAGCCTTCGCTTAAGCCGCAAGAAGGAGCAAGTGAGCGCGAGGAAGCGCAATGCACACAGAGCGTCAAAACAAAACAAAAAACAAAAAAACAGAAAAAAAGAGACAAGCTGCAAGAAGGAGCAAGTGAATGCGAGGAAGCACAGTGCACATCAAGCATCACAGGTGGTAACAATGTAACTTAATTTGCTCACTATGTTGTTGTCACTATTATTATTTTCCTTCGAGTTTTGTGTCGTGCTAAACTTGATAATTTTCCACCTTGTCACGAGTGTTGTTATCTAATTATCTTTACGCTATATAAGTTTTAGTCTTTCCAGCTTGAGCCATTCCCTGTATAATCCTTGATGAGAAGGGACCGAAAACGTTCGGATACTTATGACAAGTGCATTATTATTATTATTATTATTATTATTTTAATAACGAAGGTACGTGTTGGGTCGTAAGTATCCACGCAAACACACATCCAGTCAAAATAAGGCACTTGTCAAAGTATCCGAACGTTTTCGGTCCCTTCTCATCAAGGATTATACAGGGAATGGCTCAAGTTGGAAAGACTAAAATTTATATAGCGTAAAGATATGAGATAACAACACTCGTGAGAAGGTGGAAAATTATCAAGTTCAGCACGACACAAAACTCGAAGGAAATAATAATAGTGACAAGAACATAGAAGGGACCGAAAACGTTCGGATACTTTGACAAGTGCCTTATTTTGACTGGATGTGTGTTTGCGTGGATACTTACGACCCAACACGTACCTTCGTTATTAAAAAGTATTATCCGCCTCCGACTTCTTGTAAAATTATTATTATTATTAATTTTATAGAAATATTCACTCACTACAACTTCTTGTGATTGCTGGTGTCAATGTAGCCTGCTATGCCTGCTTGTTAGTGAGAGTGCACCAGATACGTACCGATATGTATGTCTGACGAGATGTTCTTGAACTGGCATGCTGCTTTGACAAGAACTTTGGTTAGATACGGTTTAGAATTGGGTGCTCAATGGCCTGGAGGAATTAATCATGTTTGCGATCAGTATCACCAAGAGTACGGTTCTTCTGTCTACTCATCTCTTCTTGGCTTGTGGATTGTTTGAAAAGAGATAAAATAATAATACAGAAATACCTATATTCTGCCTGTGACTACTCACAGAGAAAGAGTGGTCGCAACTGTACATTCCGCATGCAACCGTTCGCATGGAATTATAGTGGTCACAACTGTATTCTGTGACCGCTCATAGGGAATTATAGTTTCCACAACAAATCCTGCAGTATGAAGAACTCCGCGAGCAGTCACGAACTGTGAACTGTGTGCTTACACAAGCAGATGTATGGTGAGTTGTGACTGGTCATGGAGCATTGTGACTGGTAAACTTATTATTTTGTGACTGGTCATGGGGGGTTTGTGACTGTTTGACTGGTCACGGGGACCGTGATTGGTCATGGGGCCTGGTCATGGGGACTGGTCACTGAGTCCTACCTACCGTATTATCTCTAATATAAGCACAGTCTCCAATAATAGCACGTCTCTTAGAAGATATTCTAGTCACCAGTGCAAGCGTGAAGCTCCTCGGATCCCAGTGCGCTGGAAGTTGAACACACAGATGATAATACTCAAATCTGTGGACAGCAACTGTTTCGCTCTGTTAGAGCTCCTCAGCACAGCACAGATGATAATACTATTATTGTCCCTGCATGTGGAATTTTCGTTTAGGAGCTGCATCTGCGCCTTGATCCTAGAGGGTGGTGATTTTCCTATCGGGATACGAAAACTCGGCTTCAAGCCGAGTCTCACGCGAACCGTGAAATAAATTTATTTATATGGAATTTTCAAAAATTCATTGAATTCATTGCCAATCCAGGAAAGGCAGCACCGGTCCGGAGTACTCCTTGCAACGAAGATCTCCCGGAAATAAATCTAGAATACCATGATAAGCCTGTGATGGATAAGAAAGGGCTCATCCTCTAGCACTGCCAGAACCTTGTGCCTAGGCCTAGGATCGAGAACATTGAACTGCTCACTGGTGCAATGGAACGCATCAGATCTCGTAATCCTAGCTAGTGATCAGCTGACGCGCAGAAATAGTCAGCACAATGGGCGCGATGAGCAAAACTCCCAAAAGCTTAAGATCTTGATAGGCACCCCACGTAACTGTGTCGTTGCAGTGTCTGTTCACTGCGGATTCTACTAATGGTACAAGGCGCGGTATCCTGCACCGAGTTGGCGCTCAAACAATGTAGTCCGAACCACAAAGATGCAAACTACGGTGTTCTGTTTACCGATTACACGCAATGTCCATCACGTCACCACATACTGAGTAGCGTTGGACGAATCGAGAAAGAGGTGTTATAGGGTACAAGTGAAGGGGCAACAATAATAATTAAATTCGAAGTAACTTGGTTAGACTGTGAAGGGTGCGAAACTGTCATAGCAATTGCTTCCTTGCTCTTGAGCAGTATTGCGTCAACATGCTGACCACGGATGAAAGTTAGACAAAGGGGAATGTCTTTTGCAGTTTCATCACTGGCCTACTCCGTTTCAAGCTGGCATACCATCACAAACCTGATCGGGGCAATTTAGCCGAAACGAGCGGGTCTGCTCTAAGCTACTTCCTATGAATGAATCTGCAGTAAGTCTACCCACTGCTACTAAAAATATACCGAACTCAGAACGGCTCGTTGTACAATGTGCGATCTCTACTGCTATACATTACTGCCGGCGACAGCGAAAGACAAAGGGGTAAAGACGTTAGTAATGCCTGTTGAATGACGTCACGAACACCGTGGACTCAAGCCGGCACTAGCGCATACTTGCTGCATAGGTAGATTCCGGGCAACAATATAACCCTCTGACTAGCAGAAACGGCACCATTCGTCGAGTCACAGGCTACGAGTACGCTTCACAACAGGTCATCTCCTATTCTTCTTTACGTTGCGAGACTCCAGCAGTCACTCTCCTGTAATAGTGTGGATCAGGACTATCCTGTCGTTCCGTGGATTCTATCCGTATCTCCCGGACCAGAACTTGCTGCTGTTCCCTGGACAAGCCAGTCACCTCACTTGTTTTGGCTACCATTGTGGACGAAAAAGTACAGCCATTTTCCAGAGACTCGGTTGGCTGTTTGACACTGCCCTAGTTGTCACGTTCGGAATGTCTTCCTCAAGGAACACGTCAGAAGCAGAAGGCCACCAAGGGATGACGGGAGCTCAACTACCCAGCTACACGATGCAGTATTTTCCGCCGTTGTACTCACAACGTCCAAAGATGCCTACTGTACAGGGTAAGGGACGAAAGTCGAACGTTTTGCAACCTAGTGTACATAATGTCTTGGGATTTTGCACCTGTATGCTCTGTACATAATGTCTTGGGATTTTATGTGTTTCCAGTATCGGATAAAAACTTGAGAATATTATCCTGCTAGACATGGTTTCTGCCCCGATATATTATTTGCTTTGTGAATTGTCTAGTTTCTGCTCTCTAGCGTGGATGGGACTTCATGTGTGTGTGTGTGTGTGTGTGTGTGTGTGTGTGTGTGTGTGTGTGTGTGTGTGTGTGTGTGTGTGTGTGTGTGTGTGTGTATGTGTGTGTGTGTGTGTGTGTGTGTGTGTGTGTGTATGTGTGTGTGTGTGAAATGGGCTGTGAATCACGGCATGGAATTGTCTAAGTCAGTCAGTAGAAGCTGTCGAACACAGTCACTACATCTAATCCCCGTCTGGCCAAGACAGTGTAAATGTTTATCAAGCCTGTTAGAATGGACTGGGATGGAGAGCCCAATAGGATTGTATAAGGATTTAGTGAGCAATTCACCCCCCCCCCCCTCCCCTCACCTTCCCCTCCTATGTTGTCATATAACTTAGGACCTTCCAATTTGGAAGGCTGTTGGAGTTCGCATCCGAGGCTTGCTAGAGCTGATAGCCAGTTAGTTGTAGAACGTCAGTACCGTCGGTCAGTGTCGTGCAAAGTTATCGCATGAGCTGATTGTTGAGTGACTGGTGGTGTTAGTGGACATAATAGCGGAAGTTGTAGTTCCTTGGTAATTATTTCTTTCTACAAAATTAAAAAATTGTCAGTGAATTTTCTGTGTGTTCATTGCTGTGTATAACCAATCGAAAATGAAGATTTAATTATTTTCCTCGCAGTATGACTTTGAATTTGGAATTCAACTGATGTATACAGTCGTGCAGTAAGTTTGACTATAGGGTGGAAAGTAAAGTATAGTTTTATACGATGAGAAGTTAGTTTGTCACTCATGGTAGAATTCTTAGGCTTAGCGAATCTTTGATGGAGAGACTGGGCTGGACAACGATAGGCATGGTGATAAGTCCCTATCCGCCCTACACTTTAATCTGATGTAGCAGCTAGCGGAATGTACATGTACATACTAAGGTGTCAGACCTCAGCAGCTTCGCATGGCCAGTTACTATTATCAGACCTTGACAGCCTAGCACGGCCAACCACTCTACTAGACCTCAGCAACCTGCCATCGATCAGGCTCTTGCACAACCTGCCAGTGGGCGGGAGAGAAGGAGAGCTCTTATTTCAGACTTACATAATGTCATTGCAAGCAGTTTATATTAAACATGTCCTCGCTGTCACAAGTCAGCGAATCTCCTTTTCCTTACGCAGTTAGAATGTCATTTCCTAATTGCAGATCCGGCAATGTGTAGAAAGTAAGCGCACAACACTGACAGTAAAGGTCAAGCAAAAAACAGTAGCAACGAATCAGCTAACTACCCACAGAGACAGTCAGAATGCTCGGGCGAAATGAGTGCATTTTAGCCGCTGGGTTTTAAACTCACTGTCGCTTATCCTTTCTTGACCCAAAATGCAGTAGTCAACGAGCCGCTTGAAACGAAAAGCAAACAGTACTAATTGCGTGGGAATTTGTGAAGAACTAGTGTGATTGCGTGGCAATCGTGAAACTTCGGATCTACTGGGGCCGACAAGCAAATCATCGCCAATGGTATATTAACTGTGCTGCTATTGCTGGTTGAATGCACTAACTCCGGGATACTGACAAGTGCCGTGCGACCTTTGTAGACCTTTTCACTGCGTTTTGCAACCAATCAAGGCAAAGTCTTCTACTTCGAACTGAGGTTGAGGAAAGGCGGCGCTCAGGGAACATTGCACTGAAACGTTAGGGAGTTGATAGCTGAGCAGAGATTGGCAAATGTACGTTTCTGTGTCACACAGCTGGGCCAATCACGTACTTCTTTGGAAGTAGTCAGGAAGCTGTGTACTACTAGTACTTGGCAGATTCAGTGCTGTGGAGTGGTTCGGAGGATGGTTGCTAGAAGTCAAGACGGGAAGCTCGCTGTATGACTTTCATTCCTTCCATAGTGAAGCAGGATCCAGGAGAGAAGCCCCAGCAGAGAGTGCGATGAGTGCATCACAGTTTCTAAACTGTAGGTCGTCAAACGGCAGGGAGAACGGAGGAACATGTTGTGCAGCTGCAGAGAGAGGTCGCTAAGAGTTCGGAAGGTTTACACCTGCTCCGGGTCTTCTGCATGAAATCAGAAACTGCAAAATACCGTTCCTACTATCTGGGGAATCTCTGCGCAAGCTGTGTGATAAATGATGTTCTCTTCGTGTTGAAAAATGATGTTCTCTTCGTGTTGAAATCCGGAACTACAATCATGTCCATGTAATGAGTGGTCAGGGGGGGGGGGGGGAATTGATACTGAAAAACATGTGTAGAGTGTAAAAAGAAGCCATCATGTACAGCTGCAAGTCGGTCATGTTTTGTTCACTATCAAGTTAGTCAGTATCAAGGTGTTCAAGTCCAATAGTAGGCAATACATTGTACTGGTACTAGTACTAGTACTAGCTCATGACTGGGTGTAGACCACACTTGATCGAAAGAAGTGTTCAGGTTCAAGCTTGTGCCTGTTTCTAGTATTGGGAGCCAAGGGCTTGGAAGGAACCTACTTGCTACTCCAGCGTGATGTCATGCTATTTTCTATGGGTAGATAGTAATGCTTGAAAAGTTGAAGTACGTCACTACGTGTACTGTACTGTAGCCTAGTGTAGGTGTCAGCACTAGCCATCATCATCATTATCATCATCATCAAACGGCCTCTTGTACGGGCTTGAAACGGTGATAACCGAGATTATGTGCAAAAATCGTGATAGATATTCAGGTAAAAATATGACATTTAACAGTTGAATGATTAGTACCAAGTAGATATTAAATTGCTGATTATTTTACCAGGTAGATATTGAATGACAGATGGTGTTACTTTACCAAATAGTTATTTAAAAAATGTGATGTTATCCATAGTGATATTGTTGAGAGGCATAGCATAAAAATTCACTATGCGGCCAAACGACACTGGGCCACAAAGGAATTCACCCGCCGTCTGTTATAAGACCCTCGGCAACCACGAAAGCACGTAATGGCCCACCTCAAGAGGCAAAACGACAGGCGGGTACATGTACGCAACATACCCATGACAACAGGATATTTGAGATCCTGGCTTCTCTCTACAAAGAGAGAGGCAAGAGGCTTTAGGAATTGAGCTGTTTCAGGCCCGCTGAAACCATAAGTCGAGATCACCAGTGGGGTGAACGATCCTCGCTCGACATTCACAACGCGGCTGGCATATTTATTTATTATTTATTTATTTATTTCTGCACCTCGTGGCATGTCAAGACAGCCAATTGAATTGAGGAGAGGGTGAGACCAGCCACGGAAGAAGAGAAAAAAAGAAAATGAAGAGCACGTACACAAAGTGGGAAGGGATTAGCAACTTAAAAAGCAATGGGATGCTCAGCGGATATTGATTCTTTTTTGCCTGCTCATCATCATCATCATCATCATCATCATGTGACCAAGCCGCTTTTACGGGCAACAATATTATGAATATAAAACGCAAGGTATTGTAAGAGCAATTTTCTGAAAATAATGTTAAAACACGAAATATAAAAATGCATTATCACACCGTAGCCACTTTTATGGGCAAATTCCAATACAAGGCAATAAGAAAACGAGGATGAAGTTAACCTTTTAACTCAAAGAAAAGACAAAAGATGTCAACAATAGAACTACAAATATAAAAAACAAACATCAGGTCATAAAAACTACTTTAAAACATAACCAAATGACAGCAAAGCGTGGAGAATGAGATTGACTTACAAAACAAAAGTAGTCCTACTATGCTTACAAAACAGAATCTACCTACACCACTAAGGAAGAAACATTAAATGATCATCATCATGCCAAATGTTTTTTTTTTTTTTTTTGTTTTTTTTTTGTTTTTTTTTCGATTACTAACATAATTTTATTAGTAACACATCAACTTGCAAGGTGGAACACAATTCAAACGTCTCGTGGTACGGTCAATCGCGGATTATTCGTATAAAGAAACCACGAGTGGAATCACAATGATGGCCACGAAAATGAAAAAGAGGAACGCGAACAAGGGTGCACAGTTTCTACATGTGCACCCGCCAGTCTGTGGAGCTCTAGCCAGGTTGCGCTGCCTTCGCCGGGCACGCACGCCCTGCTGCTTGTACTTCATATGCTCATCATCATCATCATCATCATCATCATCATCATCATCATCATCATCATCATCATCAGCCCTTTCGCGTTGGCATCGGCGTTACTCCGTTAGCCTAGCCTTCGCTTGCCAGGGAGTAGTAAAATACAACTGTAAAAGCCATTATTCTAACGAGGCGCATATTTCAGAACTAAATATTGCGACAGAGCTTTCGGCCATATTTGCGCATATTATAACGATTTTCCAAAGTTGACTAGTTTACGTGTACCAAAGGTAACGATTCTCACTCATTCTCCACGCTCAATAGGACAGTATATGTATCGATTTCTGCATAACGATTTCTATTTTAACGACAGATTTCTCCTTGTTAACTCGTTAGAGTTAGCACTTCGTTATATGGCTTTTACAGTACTCCCTGGTACTAGCCATGTAGAAGGAGGTCCTTGGCTACTTCAGAGAGCAGTGTGTACAATCATGTACATGACTGCTTCAACGGTACCTGTATGACACGTGTATGCGTGTGTGTACGTGCGTGCATGTTGGTGTGTGCTTGCGTGAATGTGTGCATATGTTCATGTGTGTCCGCGTGTACGTGTGTGTGTGTGTGTGCGCATGTGTGTTTGTGTGCCCGTGTGTGTGTGCATGATCTGTGTGTGTGTCTGTGTGCCAGCGCAGGGACCATTAATTTCATAAATCTGTGCTGAGGGACAACTCACTGATGCAAAACTAAGCACACATCTATGGGGCAGGACCACTTCAGTCAGTGTTATCAAGTATCAAACAATTGCTATCTTTAATATCTTATTTGCACATTGTCAATTTCTGCTTTGCTATGTAACACAGCATTCGATGGGACACATCAACAGGCACAGACAGGGCTGCAAGCTGCAGAGACATATGTCGGTCCGGTACAGCCTGATCCCAACAATAGCTTAACTCAGCCTATTGCAAACCAACCGCAGCCTGTTGGTCAGCAGCACAGCCTTATTGGACAACCTATCAACACTGGTGGCTTCAGTAGTATTGTGGGGCTTAGACCATCATTAGTGGAGTCAACACTGGGTCTCCCACCACAGCCTCAACCAACCATTGGTCTTATGTCATCACCAGCACAATTTGCGACTCCCTACAGCCAGCAAATGAGTCACCACTTCCATGCCACTGCTAGCAGCTATCTGCCGAGTAGTGTCCCAGCAATGCACGGCAGTATGGCCAGCTCTAACCATCCTGCGGAAATGCACGCCGGCTTTCCACAGACCCCACTGAACCATCTAGCACAAGGCGTCGAGTATCAACCGGACAACCCCTCTGCCCCTCCACTGTTTGGCGGACATCCCAGAAATCTGTGCGAATGGCGTGTAAACAACGGTCTACAATTGTGTGGGTTGGCTTTCTATAGTGTCACCGAACTAGCGCAGCACATAAGCAACGTTCATCTCCAGCAACAGGACACTACCGAACAGGACGATGGCAACGTTCACATCTGCCACTGGGACCAGTGTTCACGCAAGAAAGGATTTAAAGCCAAGTACAAGCTTGTCAACCATATACGAGTTCATACAGGTGAAAAACCCTTTGTCTGCAAGCATCAAGACTGCACAGGCAAAGCATTCGCAAGATCCGAAAACCTGAAGATACACTACAGAGTCCACACAAAGGAAAAGCCGTTTGCCTGCACCTTCCCGGACTGTAAGAGAAGATTCGCAAATTCCTCGGATCGAAAGAAGCACATGCACGTGCACACGAATGATAAACCCTACCAATGCAGGGCAGCAGGATGTACGAAGAGATATACACACCCGAGCTCGCTTAGAAAGCACACCAAGCAGCATGATGCTCGAAATGCAGCCAATGGCGGTAATGCTCTTTCCTACCGTACCACGGACACCAGCGCAGAGAACAGTGACTTGCCGTCTGCGGATGGTTCTATTGCTGCGGACGGAGAAAGTGATCATGGCAGTTCGATTTCATCCGATGAGGTACTTGAAGACCAGCACAACCACCATCAACAACAACAGGAAGAACAGCAGCAGCAGCATCAACACCAACATCAACAACAAGGTTTTTCACTTGTGACTTGCACGGACCAGTGTCAGCCTGCACAGCCGCAACACTTACCGCTGGGAACGTCCGCAAGCATGCTGACTGTGAATTCAGCATCCACGTCATCTTTGCCTCAGTTACCTTATCATTTGCCCTCTGCCCCGGCTACTGCTAGTAGTGATTTGGTCAACAGTGCACGGCCAACACCACCTGGACAGCCGTCTGATAGCTATGCGGGGTTCAGTGAAGTATGCCATGACAATGCCGGAAAGGGTGACCTAGTAGTGGCAAGCCTAGGCAGTAGAGCAACAAGAAATGATCCCTTGCCTACATGTTCCATACAGACATTCCCACAGCCGCCGCCACCACAGCCAGAAGCAACAGCAGCAACAGAAGCAGCAGCTGTGCCAGCACCTGTGCCAGAACTGACTCAAAACAGACAGCTTGTTCAGCAGCAACAAACTCACTTCCAATACCCGGCAGCACGTCAGCAGTTGCAGCAACAACCTCATCATCAACATCCAGAACAGCAGCTCAAGAAGCAGAATCATCAGCAGCAGCATCAGCAGCACCAGGCATCACATGACCAATGTCAGCAGTCGCAAATCTATCTAACTCACCACCATCAGCTGCCGACGCCCACACACACACAGCTATCGCTGGTGGCTCACACACCGCAGCACCAGTCATCACCTGTGTCTCAGACGCATAACCATCAGGCACAGAAGCACTCTCTCCCATCGCCGATGCAGCTGCACCAGCAGCATTTTGCACAGCATTCGGCAACTGCTCAGCCAACACTATTTCATGCAGGACAATTGCTGCACCCCGTACTGCCCTCGCAGGTCGCTCACTCTCTGTCAGCACGAAGACACCTCCCAAAAAGGCAATACTAAGCAAACAAACATTACACGGCTTGAAAACACTGTTCTCCTGAGCTGGACAACTGCCTTTTCAAAATGGCGCTGCAGCCAGCTTCGTGAATGGATGTGTTAAACACTGTCAATAAGGTTTTTAAGGCACATCATCACTTTCAACCAAACAATTTCGTAATTATTATCAAAACTCCTAAGTTTTACGGAGTTAACAATTTTTTATCATAATTACCTTATTCAAAAAAGAGGTATGAAGTGTACAGATGCAAGTTCAATACTCGCTTTTGTGATATTGAATTATCGTATCAACGCTGTCCAACGCTGAATGTAATAAGGTTATTTCATTAGAGATGGAGCTGGGTTATTGCTTATTCGGCTGTGGAACTAGTCAATCAGACGACTGCTACATTTGTAGAAGTTCCTTTTTCAAATGTCTTGTCAATTTCATTTTCCGCATGTTGTCTTCACTAACATTACCCATGATGCTGGCTACAGATATAGCGTCAGTAGAATTGCAGCTCAACATCCTAATCCGCACTGCCTTCAGTCTTGTTTCTACCCACTCACTGTCAGGATCGGGTATTTCCCCTCCAATTAGTAACCATAGTACCCGTTTCTTTTTAGTTCACTTTTTCGGCTGATCTGCTCATCCCGCAGAAATGTGTCAATACTAATGCTGGCCTAACAGATTCTACAAGGCTGCTGAAGAAAGTCTTGTCTTATTCGCTGAGTCTTCCACACTCATATCGTATCTGTTTTCAAAATAATGAGATGGAGTTTTCCTCATATTCATATGGGAATTTGTGAGCCAGTACTCGAAGTACAGATGTGTGCAAGCACATCATAGAAAACAATACTCGATAGCGAAGTATTCGTGAGCAAAAATCATAAGAAAGTAACTTGAGACGCTTCTTTTAAAGTTATTTGTGGCTAGACTGAGAAAGAACAAGACAGAGTTAGTGGTACTATGCCTTGCATGTTCCAGTACATCATGTATGCATGTTCTAGAGTAGCGAGAAGTTCATGTGAACCACTATCTAAGTAAAGTGCTAGAAATAACGTTAGAGGCATTACTGGCACATCTGGTGGATTTTGAGTGGTAGTGCAATTTGATAATGAACGAGCGGGCGAAACCACATCTCTCTGACTCACAGCTGTTAGCGAGCGTTTTCAAGATGACCTTCCTGTTCACCGTTGACACATTCACTAATTCTGTGGCATTTTCTGACAGTCTCCACATCAGAACTTTCATACATTTGTCATTTAAAATGCTAAAATCAGTAAAAACTGTATAGGCAAGTGTTGCGTAGGATTGGTGTACATACATGTACATGTATAGTGTGACTACACTACTACTAGTAGTACTAGTAGTAGCTACGGCTCTTGTAAGTAATTGTAGAGCATGTGAATGATCACATGCGCACTCGCAGGTTAGCAGGCAAATCATCGCATGCGTGGCGTCGAACGGCTCCCCACACACACAGCTCGCTGGTGTGTCCAAGAGAGACCAACCATAGCGGAGAGCTAGAGCGTCGCGGAAGTCTCCCTTGGACAGATGGTGACCATGGTCACCCCGAGCCAACTCGACACGCCTTTCGTGGATAAACTCTCCAGCCGACGAGCCAAGGCAGGGGACGCACTGCTCTTGATCGTGACGAAATCATTCTGCTCCCTCTGACGACGGTCAAGCGCTAGCCGTGTCTTCTCGCTTTGGGCTGCCTGGCGAACATCCTCCGTGGAGTTATGGGTGAATTGAACATCATTCTGGTGTACAATCTCCTCCACCTGAAGGGCCGTTACAGCTCTCGACGCAGGGAGCTCCGCCGTACCCATTTGCTGAAAACACGGCAGGGCCATCCCCTCCCCAGTCGACAGGGCAGGCGGAGAAGGTTCCATTCTTCTGGTAGGAAGGAATCACGGCCCGCTAGAGCAGGTAGAAGCTCCTCCGTGATCACCTTGTCCTGGTCGGTAAGGCATTGTGCAAGGAAAGGTACTGTACGCAATAGGTAGGTCCACCTACCACGTAAACCATGAGATATTGCAGCATAGGCAGCATGTGGCTCCGTTTTTGCAATCTCAGTAAGCTGCTTCAGCTCTTCCTTCCACTTCGCCACCCGTTGCTGCACATTTTCCGCAACCGTCTCTTCCGATCCAATCTCGGAGCCGAGATAACGCAAGCTCCCCGTGACAATGCGGATCCCTGTCTCGGCAAACACTTGGCGTGCTTCCTGCTCCAGCTCTGGCTTGACAAGGAGCTGGGTCTTTTCGGAGTTCGTGAAGTATCCGTATCGTCGTCCAATTGCCTGCAGCTCGTCACCATAATCGAATCTGTCTCTGGAATCATCCGCATACCAGCTCTGCCGGATTGATGTGTGCTGCTCCTGGAGACGAGTGATGATCGGTATGGTGGCAACTGCGTAAAAGGCCATGGAGAGGGGGTCGCCCTGCGTGGTTCCCTCACTCGCCTTGACTTCCCCTCCACCTGCAACAAATAAACGTGCAGCCGTTTGATAGGAGTTCATGATGACGCTGGAGAGGGCAGGACATATCCGCTGGACATAGTGTAGCGCCGCTTCTCTGTTCAAGCTGTTAAATGCATTGCGAGCATTCACCAACAGCACTCCATCTGTCTCCTCGTCATTGTAAATCTGCTGCACCGCATGCACCGCCGCCTCTATCCCAGCTGGTTGGCCCGCACACTTGTTGTTGATTTTTATTTTACTTCGCAAGGCCAAACGGGCAATGGTGCCCAATTCTATGGAAGCGAATTTCAAAAAGGGAGAGAGCTACGGGGAGAGAGAGAGAGAGAGAGAGAGAGAGAGAGAGAGAGAGAGAGAGGGGGGGGGGGAGGGAGGGAGGGAGATGATAAGCAATTTTGCAGCGTCAACAGAGCGATTTTGCAGTGTCAATAGAGCGATTTTGAAGCGTCAACAGAGGGAACACAAAGAGTTCATAAGCGCACAAGCACGCAGAGAAGAGTAAATGACGTGGTGTGTGGACGGGAAAAGTCAGACAGAGCATTCATTGCAAGGTGTAGGGGATGGAGGCAAGCTTAAATTGCTGGGCAGCCTTGATCTCCCTTACACTCCTTGGGAGAGCATTCCAGGCCAAGGCTGCCTGAAAGGCCAGGCGAGATCTGCCGGCTTCTGACTGTGCTGAGGGGACAGTGAGGCCCCTGGAACCTGGTGCCGGGTGGTGCTGCCAGCTGATGGTGAGAATAGGTCCTGGAGGACACTGCTGGCTTTCCCATTGACACAGTGCCACACCAGGACGAGCCGCTTCTGGGCGTAGCACTCGCGAACTCTGTACAGGGACATCCGTTCGAGCAGAGGCTGAGCCGAGGTGTGAGGCGGCAAACCATATACAGCTCTCGCCGCTCGGTTCTGCAGGACCTGAAGGCGATCAAGCTGCGAAACCTTGAGGGAGGAAGAGAAGGCGTTAGACCCATATAGGAGGTCAGGCATGATGACTGACCTCACATACTGGATGCGACTACTGAGGCTCAGACATCTGCGGGACCGCCACAGTGCTCCAATCTTCTGCACAACTTTCTTCGCCATCGCGTCAACATGGGGGTCCCACTTCACAGCGGCGTCAAGGGTCACGCCGAGGTACCTTGCTGTTGGGCTCAGGGAAAGCTCTGTCTGGTTGCAGCGGACAGCGACATGCTGACCCGCATTGCGTTCTGGTACAATTGACAGGACCTGGCTCTTCTTGTCATTTAGAAGCAGACGTCGATACTTGAGCCAGTCGGCGACGTTGGTGACGGCCCCTGATAGGCAGGCTGATGTGGCTAGCACTAATTTTCTGTGGCAGTGCACGGCAATGTCATCGGCAAATTGCAGAGATGGAGCAGGATGGGCTATGGCAGGGACATCACCGGTGTACATCCTAAACAGGATCGGTCCTAGGACGGAGCCCTGAGGTACACCAGATGAGCACTTAGCAGCAACACTGTAGGTGGGGCCAATGCGCACTTGCTGGGTTCGATCGCTTAAGTAGCTGCAGAACCAGCGAAGGGAGGCATTGTCCAGGCCGAGATCGAATAGGTCCCGGACCAGTTGGCTGTGATTGACCTTGTCAAAGGCTTTTGACATGTCGATTAGGCAGACGCCTGTGGTCAACTTGTCGTCCCGGGCCTTTAAGATGCCATCTGTGGCTACAACTAGGGCATCCTCTGTGGAGTGGTCACGGCGGACGGCAAACTGAGTCGGTGGTATGGCACATGATCGCTCCAGATGTGCAACAAGTTGCTTCTGGACTATCTTCTCGAGTAGCTTGGATACGATCGGCAGGAGCGACACAGGACGATAATTTGCAGCTACCGATGGATCGCCAGCTTTGAAGAGAGGGCTTATTACAGCATGTTTGAAAGCCAGAGGGACTTCACCATGCCTCAGCGATGAGCTGAAGAGCACTGAAAGCGATGGAGCTAACAGGTCAGCGCAAGCACGTAGCAGACACCCAGGAATCCCATCACTGCATGTGGCTTTGCAGGGATTTATCCGTTCCAGGAGGTGCTTGACCTCATCTGGGGTGGTTGACTGGAAGGTCAGCATTGAGCCTTGCGGCTGTGGACCAATGGGAATCTGGAGCTGCGCCGGACGGGACGGATTATGTACAATGCTGTGGAAGGCATCCGAGACTTCTATAATGTCGCACGTTGGCTGATGATGTTGACGAGAACGGCTAGTGACAGAGTTGATCACGGACCACATCATCCGCAGGTTGGAGGAGTGATCACGACACTGCTGTTGGAAATGCTGATTGCGTTTTCGCCGGAAAACATTTGAGGCTTCTGCACGGGCTCGCTTGTACTCCTCATGTAGATGCACGTTAGTCTTATCTCGTAGCCACTTTCGGTGAAGTCTATTCTTGCGCATGTTCAGTTGGAATAGATCACGGTCGGACCATGGCGGGGAGTCCTCCTGGTGGAGATTCTGACTTCACGCAGGGGAGCGTGACTTTCGAGAACCGACATAAACTTGGCATGCCTTCTGGATAAATCCGCAGGCTTTCTCAATATCCGGGGCTGCGACACGTAGTACCGCCTTAGCAACAATGCACCTCAGCACCTCGCCAACCCCGATTGGGCGGACCCCAGGCTTCTTGTCCAGTGCAATTAGTCGACCAGCAAGAAATGGAATGAGGCCCTCCGATGGTATGACACGGGTCGCAAGCAAGCGGGCGCCATCAGCTATTGCCTCGCATAGGCGTGTTGAGGCTCCTTTGAACGCCAAATAAATGCGGCGCCAGGCAGCAGCATCCAGACCGGAAGGGTCAGCGGAGCCTTCTGTGTGCTCGGCGATAGACTTGAGGAGATCCGGGGTCAATGGGTAAAATGCAGAGGTCATGACTTCGTAACATGCAGAGGTCATGAGTTCGTAACATGCAGAGGTCATGACTTCGTAACATGCAGAGGTCATGACTTCGTAACATGCAGAGGTCATGACTTCGTAACATGCAGAGGTCATGACTTCGTAACATGCAGAGGTCATGAGTTCGTAACATGCATAATGTACACATGTAATGTTCATGTGGAGTTTTGCGGACTACCCTGTCGGGGAATCTCAAGCACGCACACAGAGTGCACCCGACACAACGAACACCCACTCAGTTCATATGGTTTACAAAGTTGAATGCATGATAGGATTAAAGTAACGGGAAGAGAAATAGAAAGTCGAAACTGTCTTCATGCCATTGCAATAATAATTACAACCACTGAACACCGCGTGGTTGAGAGCTCTATCTGCTCAGGGGGTGCATGCATGCGTGCACAGCACACCCACACGTAATGAGTCTGAAGCACATGCCAGTACGTCATATTAGGACGTGACGTGGCAACGTGATACTAGTACATGCCCCCTAGTGACAATTGTCACTAAAAATGAGGAGAAGAAGATAAAAAACAGTACCAATTATCGCAGAATAGGAGCCAATAAATTGAGAAAACAAAACAAAAGATACTAGATACTAGATACTCGGTACTCTAGATACTAGATACTCTAACAATTTTATCAAACATTATGATAATTACCACATCAAATGCTGCGGAGACCTATCCAGAATCGGCAATATGCTGGCCCTGGCCTGGAGATCTGCAACTATAATCAGCTTCTACTTTGCAACACTAACGAATTAGTCCCCTTTGTCGATTGACGGATCAATCGGTAGATTCGGCTCTGTTTTTCTTTCCTTTCTTTCTTGTTTTGAATTGTACGTTGAACTCATCGGATTTCTTTGTATTCTGTATCTCGTTATCGTTATATTTCCCTCCAGCCCTCTCGCTTAGGATGAGCTTTCTTTTTTATGGCAGCTTAAGCGAAGGCTATATACCTGCTTTATGCAGGTTGATGCCAACGCGAACAAGCAAAATAATAATAATAATAATAAACAAAAGAACCAAATTTATGACACACACTATTAAACGTCAATCGTCAGAGACGGCCAAAACACGAATTAGAGTCACGAGTCAGACCCAAACTCGGACAAAGCAGAGAACATAGTGGTCTCAAGAGCCATACCTACTAGGCTCACGGCAGCAGGGCTCTGTCGCGGAGAAGACGACCACCAGCGGTGTCATCAGGTACACCAGCCAAAGGCACATGGTCCAACGGCTCGTCATCGATAATACTAGCTACATCTAGTGGCTCAGGGATACGACTGGAATGACTTCCAGCAGGCTTCAGCAGCTCTGTGTTGACGAGTTTTTCTTATGTGCCACGGCCAATCACGACAGTTGAGGGACCAACGACTCGCTTGACGATCCAACCTTCTTCGAATTCGGGGAGTCGTTTCTGGTGCCGGTGTGGACGGCGGAAGAGAACAGACTCTCCAGCCGAGAACGCTTGAGTTGGCTCCTCGACAAAATCGCAGGACGACAACTCTGATTCCAGGAGATCGTACATGGCTGAGGCGCGACGCTGTATTTCCTCCGTCCAGCGGGGAAACGACCAATCTGTTGGGGTAGCATCCACCACGAGACTGCGGGGCTGCCAGCCAACCATTGCTTGCATAGGTGAGACACCGGTGACACTGTGGGGCCTGTTGCGGTAGAAGTACAGGAGCATAGCTAGGTCAACCTGCCAATCACTGGACTCGTCGAGGACCTTCCGCACCAAGGTCAACAGCGTTTGGTTGAACCGTTCTGCGGCACCTTGCGATTGGGGGTGGCGAACTGCGCCAAAACACACGTTGACCCCAAATACCTTGTAGAGGGATGACATCAGGGCATTGTGAAGCTCGGTGCCGTTGTCGGAGCGGATAACATGGGGAGGACCCCACCGAGTGCAGACACTAACAAATGCATCGGCGACAGACTCAGCATCATGGCGAACAAGTGGGACGACCTCCACCCACTTGGTGAAGGTGTCAATGCAGACAAGAACGCAGTGATATCGGCCAGACTTGTTGGTACCAAGCTCGAGCGTGTCAATTTGCACAACACGCCAGGGACCATCGGGAGTTACAGGTCGCGTTGGTTGCGGTAGACAAGGTTGAGCAGGATTTGCCGCACGGCAGGTAGTGCACTCTGACACGTAGTCACGGCAGCGCTGTGCCATACCAGGGAAATAGCATTGGCTACGGAGTAGACGCCACATACTTTCCCAACCGGCGTGACCACTCACAGTATGGGCGACTGCAAGTGCATCGGCAGTAAGACTCTGGGGAAGGGCAGGCACAAGCTCAACATCGTTGAGAGGCGATTTCACGCTGCGAAACAGCACATCATCCTCAATCACCAGCTGGGTTCGGACTCTGCTGTAGCTGGAGTTGGGAATCGGTTCACCGGAGAGAAGCTGGGCCTTAACGGACGAGATCGCCTCGTCGGCAACTTGGGCAGTGGCGATGTCACCCATAGCAAGAGGTGGGAGAGCACGAACGGTAACACTGGCTGCTGCAACATCAGGCTGTGGCTTCTTAGGACTGTCCGGCACACGGAACCAGGTAGGGACACGGGTTAGCTGATCCGAAATATTGTCCTCTGAGCGGACCCATTCAACGTCAACTGTAATGCCAGATACAGTGATCAAATCGTCGATGATCTGCAAACGACGCTGAACCAACGTAGCGTGAAGGCCACTCACTTTAACACGACGAATGTTGTTCAGCAACTGCGTCAACCAGCCATGGACTGTACGCGAATCAGTGTGCAAGACCACGTTCTTCACTGGCCAACACAGAGCGAGGTTGAGCGACTTGATGACGGCGTCTAACTCTGCTATGTTGATATGACGCTTATCATCGGAAGGTCTGAGCCAGGACTTGTCTTCGACGATAGCGCCGTTGACTTCCAGAACCGCACCCATGGCCAGGCCAGAAGCATCGCACCAAACGTGCCACACTGTGGTGTCATCACAGGGCACAGACCAGACACCATGCACAGGATCGTCTTGACGGACACGAGACTCGACCTCACGACATGGTTGCACGAGATGAGGCGGTACGAGGTCATCCCATTTCGATGTGTTCTCGCCGACAAGCCGCTTGATGTAGTTGCACAGCGGGCGTAACCAGGAACATACCGGGTAGTGACTAATCACACGGCCACACCAACTGAACACTTGACGACGAGTTGGTGACTCTGGCAACTTGAGGTCAACACCAGCACGACGTTCCCACGTGACTGTATCTTCGACATCAGAAGAGGACAGCTGTAGGCCCAACACACGAGCAGTTGCGTACTGCTCTGGCTCTTTCGTCTCAAGCCCATAGCTGGCGAGTTCATGGCGGACGATGTCGGTCTGGGCAGTAGGGACGTAGAGGTCGTCCACATAGTTGTCAACGTCGGCGTGATCACGGGTAATCCATTGGACAATCATGTCCAAGATCTTTGGCGCGACGTTCAGATCGAATCCCATGCGGGTCATGGTTTACAACTCGCCTTTGTACACAACGGTTTGGTACTTGTACAGGGTGGGATGGATCCGAACTTGCAGGTAGGCTTTCCGGATGTCGAGAAGAACACTGTCGGCACTACGTCTGCGCCAGTCACGGAGTTTCGCGTCACAAGCTGGAGCGGTGACACCGGGGTGGGACACAAGACAGGCATTCAGGGCACGGTAGTCCAAGCACGGCCGAACCGGCGTGGATGCCTTGTGCTGCTGACTAACGGCAAGTATCGGCAAGACAGCGACAGGCTCTCCGAATGCCTCGGAGTCGTACTTGACAAGCCATCCATTGTCCACCCACAACTTCATTTCTGAAGCAAACTGCTCCTCCTCGCTGACGCTTAGAGACTTCCGCGAGTACTCTCCAATGCCGGAACCAATGTGCTGCTCGGGTGCAACGCCACCCTTCCACGACCACTGAGCAATCCAATGACCACGCTCATTCGACCAGTTAGCTATGCAATCATTCGCCTTCAAGGTGACTGTCGACTCGGACTCGGTAACATCGATGTGACGAGAAAGCTTATTAGGCTTCTCAGATTCGGGTTGGGGAGATGCACCGGCAGCGACACCTGCCTGCTGACCAAACACAACTGAGGACAGCGTGCCCCCTAGACCGTCGTAACGTAGAGTGAGGCCACCGACCTTGCCAATGGTATCTGTGCCAATCAGGAAGTCCGTGTTCAAGGACGACAAGTTGGGCACAACGAGACAATCAATAGTGATCCGAGGCAAATGGACGGCTCCATCAAGTCGTTGCACACGTAGCGTGACGTTGCCAAGGATAGTAAGTGGTGTTCCGTCGATAGACAACAGCTTGTCCTGACAGGGAGAAACTGCAGCTGATAGGTTCAATCGGTCAACAACAGCCGACTCCACCAGTGTGCGAGTACAGCCAGAATCCACCACAGAGGCAAAACGCGTCCATGTACTAGACTCAGTACTGGGTTCCTGTACGTCCACGGCTACACGAACTAGGTCTCCATCCGATTTTGCCAGAGCAAGGCAAATATCCGTACGTTCAGGCGGCGCGTGACCAGCAGCGACATTTCCAACTCGACTCTTGTTCGGACAGTCCTTGGAAATATGCCCTTTCGCTTTACAGGCATAACAGGTGACACTGGGCTTACGCTTCGGGCACTGTGATCTCACATGGCCCACGGCCTTACACTGGTAACACACGAGCGACTTCTTGGGCTGAGAGCTAGCAGCAGCAACAGCACCATGGGATTCTGGGAGTTTGGATGCCTGCATGACTCTGATTTGATTTGCCATATCAGTGACAGTGAGCTTCTGCGTAGCAGACGCCATACGAACGTGGTGACCAATATCAGCTGGCAACCCACTCAGGAACTGCTCAATCAGCACGGGATCTGAATTATCCGCAATCTTATGGCCAGACAGCGTAAGTAGGCGCTTCAAATCTGCCAGGTACGCGTCCACAGGCTCTCCATTCCGCAAAGCCCTTGACGTAAATGAACGGTAGGCAGCACCAGGCGTGGGGCAAAATGCCTGCTCCAGCGCAGATTTAATTTTTGCCGGCGATTTTTTGTCCTCGTCAGACAATTGAGTGACAACCGTAAAGGCTTGTCCACTCAGGAACAACGGAAGATGCTCAGCCTTGGCAGCGTCATCGGCCCACTTATTGGCCTTGGCTAAGACCAGAAACTTAGCCCAGAACTCATCAAAGTCGTCCTGTTTGCCCCGATACGGGCGAATAAATCCATCCAACTTCGAAGCCATCTTTCAGAACTTCCAACGGGTTTCGGCACCAAAGTTGTCGGGGAATCTCAAGCACGCACACAGAGTGCACCCGACACAACGAACACCCACTCAGTTCATATGGTTTACAAAGTTGAATGCATGATAGGATTAAAGTAACGGGAAGAGAAATAGAAAGTCGAAACTGTCTTCATGCCATTGCAATAATAATTACAACCACTGAACACCGCGTGGTTGAGAGCTCTATCTGCTCAGGGGGTGCATGCATGCGTGCACAGCACACCCACACGTAATGAGTCTGAAGCACATGCCAGTACGTCATATTAGGACGTGACGTGGCAACGTGATACTAGTACAACCCGCCACTATCTCGTCCGCCCCGGGATACCCGATGAAGGCTGATTCACTCGCATCTTCTGCTACATGTACTGTGTCAGTGTGAGAAAGAACTTTGAAGAAGACGAGTTCGAGCATACAATTCTGTATTGCCATGATTTCTTCCCTGATTTTCATTGAAAACACTATCTGCATGACCTCTGAACCCTTTACCATGCAGACCACCAGCACTGATCAGGTGCATTGTGCACAATTGTATAGCCTACATACTAGAACTGTGGTATAATCGTGCAGTTATGCTCCTACCTCCGAGAAGATGCCAAATTATGCTCCAAATTTTCAACCACCAAATTATTCCAATAATTATGCCGGCATAATCCGCCGGTGCCTATTGAGCAGGGAGTCCCTGCTCAATACACAGTGTTTCGGGGAATTCACCCGTCATCACTTGGGTTTTAGTAGGCTGGGGAAGATTGTGCCTGAAAAGCACCACATACATGTACAGTGCATGCTCTCCAGGCACAGACATTACCAGGGATACAAACGTACAGAGACGCTCCGTTTCCAGCTCGACAAACACACACCTCTTGAACACCAGATCGCAGCGTGGGTCAGTAACGCTCATGGGTGTGCTGAACAAGCGCTGAGGACCGTTGTCCATTCACAATGTTGTTGCCTCCAAACCATCTAATTCGCAAGCCAGCGCTGGAGACAATAAAAGTCCAATTTTGCAGCCGATTTTCGAACAATCAGCTGATTTTGCAATAGGGTCCAGCGGATAATGCTCCGAAAATGTTCGTATAATGCTAATTATAATGCTCGAAAAACTACCTCATAATGCTGATTATAATTCTTCGACAAGGTCTATAATGCTCTTGTTTTGGAAAAAATAGAAGAAAGGCTCCACATTGTCAAACTTCCAGGAAAGGATGCATATAGTCGATCTGCCTCTGAAGCTGCTACAATATCTCTCACGAGCGCCACCACTTCTTAGCACTATAAGACATGCTCGTCTCCATTGGCTGCTCTCCATTGCAACTTTGATACAGGGCTGTGGCTGCATAGTGGGTGTATCAAATCTTTTCCCTTGCTTATCCATGAAGTGAGAGGTGAAACCATCATTGCTGGTGATCATTTGGATGCTGGAAGCTTATCATGGGAAGCGATATTCCTGCCTGCAGACAATCTGTCACTGCTTCCACTCTGTGACAATATTAATAATAATTATCTTCATCTGAAACAGCTCACGTGAGGCCAGTTCCTGAGAGACGATCTCAGATCTAGATCCCTCCCATTTGCGGAAATCCTGAACACACGTGGTCAGAAGTTATTTTGCCGCTCTACATCCTCTGCTTGCGCTGTCTTTTTCTCCTGAGGTTGCGCGGAGACAAATGGTTGGCCACAATACTCTTCTTTTCTGATAGCACTTGACTGTAGGCCTTGCATTACAATCGTCCACAACGAACTGCACGTGCTTCACCAGGAAAGTAAGACACGCGCTGCTGAGCACTCAAATCGATTTGGTACTGCGTCCACGAGAAATTCTAGTTCTTTTCGAGCCTGCTGAGCTGGACTCCGCAAAGGTAGTTATTTGGAACAAGCTCTTTCTGTTTATGGTCGCTCCTTTATCCAGGTCCAAATTTATCAATGGATCAGTGTTTACTTCTGTATCGCTAGAGATGCTATGGCCAGAGTGTATGGCATAACACTTGTTACTAACAGGAAAACTCCTCTTCGTCTGTTTGATATTCACTTCGCGTACGTCTAGTCTCCTCCGTGGTTCTCCATGATTTCTAAAAAGTAAAACTCCTCGTAAATCATCGTTACGGATTTTGTGCAACAGCCTCAGTTGCAACGCTTAGTTGGGCATGCTACACCACATGTACATTTACCTGACTAAACTGCCACATAAAGCCTTCATGTATCAATGGCATTATGTAGTCAGTTAAATGTAGCATTAGTGCTAAAGTTGTTTCGTGTCTAGACAATCACAAAATCATCAGCCGGTACAATACATGGCATTGCACCTCATGGCTTTAGCCGATTGTTGCCAAAACCTGACATTTCCCGACAGTATCCACTATTTATTTTATTTTATTTTATTCCAAGCAATACATGGCTGGGGTAGCCAATGACCACTTTGCGTGGCGATTGCAGGGTTTTTATAGCCAACCATGGCTAACATGGAAAAGAGTAAGAAGTCAAAAATAAAAGGAAAAGAAGAAAGAAGCAAATATGGACTAAAATTGTGGTCTACTGGTAAAGAAAGGCGTTCCTGAATGCTGTTGAAGTAGAAAGGCCCTTTGTCTCCTGGTGCAGCTTAAGCCAATGCAAATAGCCATTGAAAAGGGGGGAGTGTAGCAATGCAGAAGAGCGGGCTAGAGGAAGGGAGAGTTTGTTCCTAGTGGAGTTATCCCGTCGGAACCAGCCAAATGGTTTTGTTAAAAGATGCGGGGGTATTTTGGAAAGTCGAATACGATGGATAAGACAGCACATCATGATTCGTCGTCTTTCTAGGAGAGGTCTGGTCGAGGATAACATATAGAGAGCGACACTAGAAAGGGACTTGGGCATATGATAAATAATCTTAAGGAGGGAACGATTGTGAGTTTCCAGTTTCTGCTGTTGGGCAATAGATAGATTTGTCCAGGCAGTACAGCAGTAGTCAAAATGCGGCAAGATATATGCATTATAGAAAAGAGCACGACAGCTGTCAGGAAGATGGGCGCGGTGTGAGTATATTATACCTATGGCTTGACTAGTCGTCTTACATATGTGGGCAACATGGTGAGTCCAGGAGAGATTAGTGTCAAAAATGACACCAAGATGCCTGTGATGATCTACATATTCTATGGGAGTGGTGGAGAAATGGAATACTAGGGGAGGGAGAGGGTAGTAGAGAGTAGTAGACAGAGGGGGAATGATCATTACCTTGGTCTTCCCGACGTTTTGTTTTAGCTTCCACAATGCCATCCACGAGGTGATATCCGTGATACCCGCTTGGAGGTCTAATATAAGACGGGAAACAGAGGGACTGCTGCGCTAGATAGAATCTGAGAGGACTGGACCAAGCTTGACTGATTGAGTCCGATTGTTGAGATAGTAGGTGAGCCACGACTGCAGGCGTCCGGTGACCCCATAAGCATGCAGCTTGGCTAGTAATCCCCTATGCCAAACTGAGTCAAACGCTTTCGCCAGGTCGAAGAATCATAGGCCAAGGTAATGGCGGCGGTCTCGGAGGGTGCACAGTTTCTGGACAAGGTTGGTTAGATGTAGAGAGGTAGAGTCACCATGGCGGAACCCAGATTGCATATCATGGAGCAGAGGTGCCAGATGATGGTACTGCCGATCATAGACGATTCTCTCAAGTATCTTGGAGCAGGTGTTCAGCAGAGAGATTGGGCGATAGTTACCAGGATCATGTCTGCTTCCCTTGTTCTTGTATATGGGCACAACCACAGCATATTTCCAGGCAGAGGGAAAAACGCCGCTGGACAGGGAGTTATTGAAGGTAAGGGAGAGAGGATAGGAGATAGAAAGTTTCAAGGCCTTCAGAATCTCGTTGCTTATACCGTCATAGCCTGGGGACTTCCCTGTGGGGAGTTTCTCATTATAGCGAATCACGGCCTCGGAGGAGATGACAATGTTTGAGAGGTTCGAGGCCGGAGAAGGGAGATGAGACAGATCTGGGACGGGCCAGTCAGGATCATCCTGTGTGCCAACCCATACAAAGTGCTCGTTGAGAGCAGCTGCCATCGTTGAGAGCAGCTGCCATCTCAGCAGGATTATGTGTGAGGGTGTCAGCGGAAGTGGTCATTGCTGAGGGTGCAGGGTGATGCGAAGACACACCAGACAGGGAGCGGACAAATGAGTAAAGCGACGGGCGGGCTGAGTTAGTGAGTTTGCTTTGGAGTGACTGAATGTATCTTTTGTGAGCATGGCGAGAGAGGTGCTTGACCAAATTGCGTTGGGCCTTATAGCTTATGGAAGCTAGTGTAGAATGCACTGACTGTGGACAGTTGTGACTTTTTCAGCTCCGTAGTGTTTGACAGCCCAGCCGGCAACAGGCCGGTCTGGAAGTAGGACAGTAGTATTAGTGGCAGTGTAGGGTAGCATAGTGTAGTAGGGTAGCGTAGTGTAGGGGTGTAGGTAGGTAAAGCAGTGAGAGAGAACTTCTTCGCCATGGGCGAGCTCGCAGGAGAGCCTGCGATGAAACTTCTCTGCTCCCTCCCGGGTATGGAGCAGACTCTGCTCAGCGTGCTGCAGACCCTGACTTTTCATGTCAGCGAGTCGAGGGATCGTGAGGCGCGTCTCCATCAGCGTGTGGACGACCTCTCCGCGCAGCTCCTAGGCCTCCGTGAGGAATTTTGTTCCCTGCAGAAATCCGCCATTGTTCCCGACAAGGCCCCTGCACGATCTCAGCGGTGTCCCGTCACTTCGGAGCGTGACGTCTCGTCGCGCGACATTTCGAAGCGGTCATTTCGAAGACAGTCAGTTACGGGGACACTTCGGAGTGTGTCAAATTCGGCGCCAGACGATTCGACGAGAACCAGTTCGGAAAATGGCCACGACATCGCCTGTTCATTTCGTCGTCACGCCCGCTTTTGCTGGGAGAAAAATCGCACTTCTTTTCGCCTGTTCATTTCACGACTCCCTGGTTTGAACTTTTCGCCTGTTCATATCTC